GTACAGGATGTGGATAAGGCCTATCATTAAAATTTCATTAGTAGGTCTGCGAATTCTTCAATCTTCACATCAATCACAATAAGATTTCAGAATACTACTGAAAATAGTCAAAAACATATAACATCTCATCGAGGAGCAGGAGAGACTTGCATGAAAGTAAGCCTAAAATCACTTTATCACTTTCTCATCTTAAAGAGACCGGATAAAATCACTTTATCACTTTTTTTTATTCAAGAGACTGAATACGAATCGGAGTGGCAACACTAGACGATAAGTCCCCGTTATCACCTTCTTACCTACAGAGTGCATATATGCACAAAATTTGTTGGCGATTTGATTATCTTGATCAAACAATACATTATACTTTTTCAACTATTTGAATATGATCAGTTAATGCATATGTTATATAAATACATCTGTTATACATACTTGAGTTTAAAAATAATTGACTTCGAGTATTTTTGGTTTAAGAAAGAAATTTAAGTGAGTAGATTCAAAAGGAAATTCCAATAAAAACCCAGGTTACAAGGAATTTTTTTTTTAATGAAAATAAGTTCCTACTGCCTTTCTTAAGAACTGAAATGAGTACAGAACAAATCTTTATCTTTACTACTATAAAAGAGGATTGCTATGTTAAAACTTTTGATTTTCTTTTATGCCCTCTCGGTTTTAATAATCTCCCATAACTAGGGGTGCTAAACTGTATCCGTATCCGAGGAAATATCCGTAATCGTATCCGTTAGGATACGGATATGGTTACTCAAATCTATAACCGATAGGATGGTTATGGATATGGTTTTGTAGTGAAATATCTGTATCCGTATCCGAACTATCCGGATACATATTAGTCATACTCTTACGATAGTTTCGATTCTTAGATTATGGATTTGTGGTTAATTTTGATGATCAATATGTCTAATTTTAACTTTTCAGTTATAATGAAGATATTAACGAACTCTTTTGTATCACATGAACTATATTTTTCTCAATACTATCTACTTTTTCATATCTATTTGTATCCATATGCATATTCGCTTATATATCTGCATGTATATCCGTAATCATATCCGATTTTAGCAGATATGGTTATAAATTTTTTTTTACCGAGATATATCCATATCCGAGATGGGTAAGCGGATATGGATAGGGTAAGCATCATATCTGAGCCGTATCCGGACCGAATCCACCCCTACCAATAACTATAAGTATTAAAGTTTGTGTGGTTCTAATGACTATTAAGTTTTCTTGAATTTATGTTTTTGGTTAATCACTAATTATCATGTTAGTTATCTTGTGAGGACTTTCCCATGAAATTGTATTTTGGGTTAAGCACTCATTCTTAATTTTATTTTACATAATTACTATTCAGCTCGAAAATATAGTGAGGCGTATGCAATAATATGATGAAGGATAATGTTTTAGAGCAACTAACCAAAATTATATTATGTGAAGACCTCTTTACGCATGTAAAAAGACCCAATTTTTATCTTGATTAAGTTAAATATGAGAAATATTTGGCCAATATTTTCTTCAGGTTCTTTGTTTAGAAGAATAAAGAATTGTGCCTAATATTGTACAAATTATGTACAATGTGCTAATATAGTAGCTAACTATTTTGATTTGGACTCCCACGAAAGGAGAAAATAAACATTAAAGAGCAACTTCCAGGAAAAAAAATATAGAAGGATGGATAATCAAATTATTTGGAGAGATGAAGAGTCAATAGGAAAGTTTAATTTCAAGATATTGAGGGTTAAATGAAAATGATGTGTACCCAATTTAACAATATAAGAAATTAGATAACATTAAAATATCCTTAAATTTATAATCTAAAGCAAACCAATACGTAAAAACTGCATTGGTTGGACCATAAGGATATTTAATCTCTTTGGCAGTCATTTTCTTTATAGGAAATTTATGCTGACACTATATTAGAGTGGATCCTAAAGCTTTGATGTTTTGAGATAACCCCTAAAACTTATTGTTTAATTATAAATTTAACATTAAAAACTATTTTAATAACATATGTTAATCTATAACTTTATCATGCATCACGTGTGATGCACGTATGACATACTAATATAGAACAAATATGCAATTAATAGAAAAAATGCACACTTCACTTTTCTCCTAATCCCATCAGAACTTGTTGCTCCATTTCAAACCACTTCACCAATTCCCTTTTAAGGCAGAACAAGACACTAACGCCTCGTTTGGTACGTGAGAATCGACGGAAATGAGAAAAGAATGGACCAAGTAATAGAATGGAATTAATGTGAGAATGGAATACTCATTTTTATTCTCACGTTTGGGTGCAATTTATAAAATAAAGTGGGAATAGACGTATTTTAAAATTTTATATTTTATTGATTCTCACTTAATTGGGAATGCTGATTCCCTATCATTTCATTGGGAATGTTCATTCCCACATAAAGTGAGAATTAATGAGAAGTGAGAATGAACATTCCAACTTCAAAAAAGATGTTGTGTTTGGTAGGAAGGAAAAAGAAGTGAGAATTGATATTTCATTCTCACTCATTCCCGCGTACCAAACAAGGCTTAAGGAATAATTAATGCAATTTGAATCCAAGCAAACAAGCAATGAGATCTACAGTTATCACAAAAATCAGAATAATTATGCATTCCTAACAATCTATAGCAATGCAAAACTAATCAATGGATATTTATGATTGTGGATAGAATTCACGGAGGGGCGAGGATCTCAAATCCAAAATTGTAAGGACTGAATCAAGTCTGAAGTTAATTGATTCCTTGCTGATTAGTCAAGAATCTCTCACAAATCATCAAACAGCTAGATCTAGCTAAGGGCTGTCCAAAACAGCCGCGGCTCAGGCCCGGCCCGAGCCCGGCCGGCCGTGGCCCGGCCGGCCCGGCCCTCGCCCGGAAACCGCGGGCCAAGTCCGGCTCCGGGCGGGCCCGGGCCGGCTCTTTTGTGCCGCCCGGGCCCGGCCCGACCCGCGAATAGTAGTTTTTTTATTTTTTATTTTTATGTATTATATTATATATGTATATATATATGTATAATATATGTATATATAATATATTTTTATATATGTATAATATATGTATATATAACATATTTCTATATATGTATAATAATGTCATATGTGTGTATATATATACTCTCTCTTTTAGTATATAAGTATATATAAGTATACTCTCTCTATGTAAGTATATATATTATAAAGTATATATAAGTATATTTCTCCTTATATAAGTATATATAAGAATACTCTCTCTTATAATATGTATAATGTATGCATGTATGTATATATATACGCTCTCTTAGTATATATGTATATATAAGTATCTCTTCCTCTTATTATGTATAATATATGTGTATATTATATATATATATATATATATATATATATATATATATATATATATATATATATATATATATATATATATATATATATATATATATATATATATATATATATATATATATATATACTAATATACTCCTCTCTCTTAGTATATATGGTATAATAAGTATACTCTCTGCTTATATATGTTATACTCCCTATTATATAAGTATACTTTTTATATATGTGTGTGTGTATACTTTCTCTGCTTAGTATATAAGTATAGTATATTACAAACGGTTACTTCCCCATTGGCCCCAGACGAGCAACGGGCTATAGGTGTTAACTTATGCGATTCTCTCTCTCTCTTAAATTATAACGTTATAAATATATACAATTATTTACATATAATATGATAGTATAGTATAATATATAGTTACATAATAATTTAAGAAAGTATATACTAATACATAATTATCGTAAAATATAATAATATTAAACTAATTTTTAGCATTTTTTTTTTATCAAAAAAAGAAAAGAAATTAAAAAAACACCTAGGTGGGATGTACTTATCTATTGTGATGCGATGAATTCCAAAATAAATTTATACTTGTAATTTGTAAATGATTTTTAATTATTAATAAGATTTATTTTATAATTTTTTTATTTGTAATTTTATGTTATTTTAAGTGATTAATAAAATTATTATTTTACTATTATTTTTTTGTATTTTTTTATATTATAAAAACTTAAATAAAATTTAAAAATTTGGAAAAAAAATTTTAAAAAAAAAAAAAACCGCGGTCCGGACCCGAGGTACCCGGACCGGCCCGGGTAGTTTTACCCGGGTCGGGGAGTCGGGTCGCGTTTGCCGCGCGCCGGGGTACCTCGGGTCGCGGGTCCGGGCTCCGGTTTTGCCCGGCCCGGGCCCGGATTTCCGGGTCGGGCCGGGCCGGGCCGGGCCGGCCCGGATGGACAGGCCTAGCTAGATCCCACAACTTAGACCGATCCTTACCAAGCACCTACAACATCTAACAACAATTAAATCCAAAAGAACACTCAAACAGAAATTGTTTTACTATCTTAACCGATGTGAGACTAAAGATAGCAACATATATACAATATTTAACAGTAAGATTCTAGGAAACTCATGTTCCCCTCAAAACCTTTCATGAAGAGCGGAGTTCTTGGTAGTAAGGACCTCCCTTTCCTTAGCCCATGTTGCCTCCTTGGCCTCTTACAAGAGTAGTCTGGAGAGTGTGAGGGCTGACTCATCCCTCTCCCTCTTGGCACCTAGTTCATCTCACCGGGCCACAACCACGTTGCCTACGCAGACGCGTCTTAGGTTGAGGTATGGAGCGATGGCGCTAACCAAATGGCGAAAAAAAAACCCCTCCTCCTTCTTACCTTTTCTTTCTTTAGAATTTTAGCCTTAATATCTTCCCTTTGGTTTGTATTTTAGAAGATAACATGTCTTTCATCACCTAGAACTGTAAATAGTTGAATCGCAGACAATATTACACACTAATTGCACACAACATGATACACCATCTTATCCACCCCATAAATCAAACCAAAGCAATAGCATTAGCCGAAACCAAACCGACACCGTCATCCATGAACTCCCACTTCTTTAGTAGGTAGATAAGTTGTTTTGATATTCCAGTATAGAAACCGAACCTCTAATTTAGCTCTTTGAAATTGGAAAGCCTGATTACAACAATATTCCCTCTCTATGATATGATACTTAAAAGAGAAGGCAAGGCACAATGTTGATCACAAACGACAGAACCCCAGAGCTTCACAAGCGAAGGAAGCTACCCTCCCTCAAGAAATCAAGGTTGAAACAGAGGTTGCTACGCAAAACCTGCTAGTCTCCTTCAACAACCGCCGAGTCTCTCCATCCAACTCAACATTATCAGCTCTCATTCGTTCAGCAACTATCAGTGGCATTTTACAAGCTTTCGCATAAGTCCTAAGCAAAGAATTATATATCTCAGTAGTCACATACCCTACTCCCCTAAGCATCACCAAGAACTCCTCTGCATCTTCAACATTCCCAAGTTTCTCGAGTTTGTCAAAAACACCCCTCACGATTCTAATATCAGGCTCCCATTTCTCCAAACTCAATAATCCTCTCTTTAGGCAATCAAATACTTTGTTCATCCTCTCCTCTCTCAAATATCCCCATGCCAAAAGCTCCCAAGTACTGTAGCTGGGCTCAATTCCTGCCCTTAAGATACGCGCGTGAAGACTCTCTGCTTTAAGCATCATCCTATGCTTTACATAAAAAGCGAGTAAAATGTTTGGAACCCTAGAGTCTCCTGTGCCTGATACTGATTCCCATTGATTATAGATTGATTCAGCTTCTTCAATCTCACCCAATTTTGCAAGAGATGATAGCATACACTTGTACTCAACGTCACTCATCTTTCTAAATGTCATTCTCATTTTGTCCCAAATTCTATACACATTCTCTTTATCTGATAGATTTGCATATAAACTAATGAGAGAACAGTATCCTGTTCTTTCCTTCCTCGAAACCCTTTTCTCCATCTCCTTCAACGCTTCTTTTGCAGCGCTGATTTTGCCCGATTTGATGTAGATGCTTGTTAGTATGCTATATGTTACCCAATCAGGGGCTAATCTCCTCTCCTTCATCTCTTCGAATATCTTTTCTGCAGTATTCGTGTCATTTATATTGGCACAAGCAGTTAACCAGAGATTGTAGGTGAGCTCATTTGGAGAAGTGTTCTTCTTTAGTTCCTTAACCATTTCTCCTACTTTATCTGTTGCATCGGTGGAAATGTAGAGGGAAATCATATGGTTGTAAGGAAGAGCGCATCTAAGGAGGCCATGAATTGACATTTGTTTCATTAGTTCCTCAGCTTTGGTTGACATTTTGTTCTGAACATAAGTATGAAGGAGCGCACTGCAGGTTGATTGTCCTTTCATTTTCTCGGGCAGATCTTCATAGAATTTCTCTGCACTGCTTAAGCCACGGACTTTTGCTACCAAGTCTAAGTGAACAGCAAAGTCCCCTGGTAATAGTTTGAAGTCTGGTTGAGTTCTCATCCATTCACATATCTGCATGAATCAATAGCCATGAAGAAAATTCAAATCTGATACCTCGGGACAAATATGTATTACAGTAATTGTAGTTGCAAAGTGCAAAATTTAAAACTGAACGCAACATGTTAGAGACCTACGAAAACTCAACCCTAAAAGCTAGTTGTTAGATAAAAGGGGAACTGAAATCTCTAATGGATTGCATTTCCTCATCATTAGACAGCGTGGGACTGAATAGACTATACCATACAACCACTGAAAATCTCGGTATCCATAGCAGCTGGCTTTGCGCTAGTCTAATCCCAGTCGAAGATTGCAATCTCGACTCACCCCTTGGCTTTCCACTGGACTGCTCCACAAACAATGCAATTCCGATGTGCCCTTCCATGGGCCGAAATCTAGACTCACAAAGTAGCAATTTTTTAAATCCTCTTTATAAATTTGTAGCCAGCAAGAATCCAACCTGGATTGCTAATACTATGTCAAACTCCCAGCCACTAATACAAAACTCCAAAGTTACGGTGAGGGTTGGGGGTTATAATTTTATACTCTAACAACGACAACTATATGTATCGCAATTGCAATTACACACAACAACGATTACATGCAAATGATCCTTACTTTGCAATTTCAGTTGCAATGAACTAAAATGACCCTAAATATTGCGATTAATCAGCCAAAGGGCCCCTCATAAAAGTTCCCTCATAATGATGACTTTGAATGCCATACAGATGCGCAGTTCAAAGTTCTCTTTAAATGTCATAGCAAGTACAAATCATCAGTCGACACTTCGATTCCCTCCCCTCAATTTGTTAGAGACCAATAACGACTTTCCTCTAAAATCTTACTCCTCTAATTTCATCTCATCTCTTGTGGGCATTTCATCGAACAGGTGAAGGGCGTTACCTCAAGAGCGTGCTTATATCTCTTGTAAATTCTCAGCTCACGTACAACTCGATTGAGCTGGTACTTTTGAATGGGCTTTCCTTCCTCGGCCCATTTGCGGAGGACGATGACGGCGCTGCGCTTGGGGTATATGAGGCTCAGCAGCCTTCGGCCCAGCGTGTCTCGACCTTTACCGCTGCTGTTGTAGGTTGTAGTCGGGGTTGTGCTTTGGTGGGATGTTAAGAATTCGGCCGTTGCCGACGATGAGAGCGGCTGCGCGCGGGCGGAGAGCAGGGCGCAACGGCGGAAAAGGCGGGCTAGTAGCATTTCTTTTGCCCTTTTTGGGTTTTTTATTTATTTATAATTATTAGAAGCCCAAATCTTTGACAATTCAGTATTAGACCCTGAAATCTAAACGTTCATATTTGCTTCTCGCGGACATTTTAAAACTACTAAAAATATAATGGTGTTATTTTGAACAACTTAATGAATTTGGGACATTTCCAAAAAAAGAATTTGGGATCTAATTTAATAATATAAATAATTGAGGGTCTGAGATATAATTGTTATATCCTAAGAATTACTAAGACTAATAAACTCTTGAGAATCAGTCACGTGTCTTGACTAATTGGACGAGTCTTATCTAATCTAATCTAATACTATTAGAAAAGTGTGTTGTCATGTTAAAACATTTATTCCGAAAATACCCTCCAACATACATACATGCACACATAAAATACACCCATGTCATAGTTCTTTAATTATTATTATAACATGTATGTTGACAACATAGTTTGATGATGGTGATGATCATTGGAGGAAAGAGGTAAAGAAAAAAAATAAAAGAAATATAAAAAATAAAAAATAAGAAAATAAAATGGATAGTTCTAGTTTTTTACCACCTAATTATAAGCTAAAGCTTGTGATAATTTGATAGACTAGGACACTCATTTTTGTATAGAAAAATTAAATAAGTAGGATAAATTTGCACAATTATTACAGTTCAAATTTTGTTAGAGTTCTAGTTGACTAACACTATAAAATTTTATTCTAGTCATAGTTCTAATTGACTGACACTATAAAATTTTGATCCTACAAATTATCCTAGTTCTACTTTTGAGTTCTACTTGACTAACCCAAAGCCCCCCACGCTCCATATCCTCCAAAGTTTGAGATCCCGACGCTACAAACTTTTAATGGCACGAGATCACCGAATCAACATATCTATCATTTTAAATCACAGACTGAGAATGTGATATCAAACGATACTATATTGGCTCGATTGTTTGTTAGCACCGTCAAGGGAGTTGCCTTTGAATGGTTCAGGAAACTGCATGCCGGATGTATCCAAAAGTGGGCGGATTTAGAGAGACTCTTCCTATCAAGATTCTTTGAAGAGAATACATAAGTATCCATCCATACCCTTCTCGCCATTAAGCAGAAGAAAAGGGAGCCCGTCAAAACCTTCGTCAAGAGGTTCCGAAGTATGGATCTTCGATGTTCGTCAGGTATGACACTATCTACCTTAGTGGAAACCTGTCGACACAACTTGCAGACCAACCATCTAGCACAAATGAGGGTTGCAGAATGTCGTTCCAGGAGACAACTAATCTCTCAAGGCGAACATGCTCAGAAAATTATTGTCAGGATCAAAGCTGAAGAACAAAGTAAGTAGGATCAACCTGAGCAACGGGACCAAGCCCAATCTTCTCAGTCGGAAGGGGAAGATGCTACAGCCATTGAAGCCAATCATCTTCAATAGGATGGCAGGTCCACCAAAACTATCACGTTAATGATTACATCTGATAGTATATTTTCTCCAAATTCCTCTACCAATCCTCTTCAATAGGATGACGGGTCCACCAAAACTATCACGTTAATGATTATCTCTAATAGTCCATTTTCTCCAAACTCCCCCCCACCAATCATCTTCAATAGGATGGCGGGTCCACCAAAACTATCACATTAATGATTACCTCTGATAGTATATTTTCTCCAAATTCTCCCACCAATCATCGTCAATAGGATGGTGGGTCCACCAAAACTATCACGTTAATTATTACCTCTGATAGTCTATTTTCTCTAAATTCATCCCCATCAATCATCTTCGATAGGATGACGGGTCCACCAAAATTATCACGCTAATAGTTACTTCTGATAGCCAAACTCTTCAGTTAGCGGTCTGTCGTGTGGCGTGCCTCTATTCCAATCATAGTCGTTATACTCCAATGGCACTAAAAGACTTGACGGATAGTGGCTCACTAGGTGATATGCCCTATTTACCTTTTTTTTTCCTTGCACATGTTCAAGACTGGGGATTGGTTACTTGGAATCCACTGGATTAAAAGTAACAAATCTTTCACATCATCGAGTTAACATTACACTTCTGACGGTCATCATCCCCATAAAAGTATGCATTCATCTTGCATCACTCCCTATTTTTCACGTTAATAATACACCTATGATAACAATCAACTTATCAATCCTCTTCAATAGGATGATAAGTCCTCAAAATTCTAATCTTTCCCAGCAAGACGCTAAGTCTTCAAATCTTGATCAAATCACAAGTACACATTCCTATCACGTTAATATCACACCTCTGACAATCCACTTATCAATCCTCTTCAATAGAGCGATAGGTCCACAAACCCTTCACGTTAACATCACCTCTGACGATCAAATCAACTTACCGACTCTCGTCAATAGAGCGATAAGTCCACAAAGTTGCTCCAATCGCAACAAAATTCATGTCATGTTAATATCACACCTCTGACAACCAATCAACTTATCAATCCTCTTCAATAGGATAATAAATCCTCAAAGTTGCTCCAATCGTAACAAAATTCTGTCACGTTAATATCATATCTCTGACAATCCACTTATCGACTCTCTTCAATAGAGAGATGGGTCCACTAACCCGTCATGTTAACATCACACATCTGACAACCAAATCCACTTATCGACTCTCTTCAATAGAGCGATAGGCCCATAAAATACTGCTATGTTAACATCACACTCTCTAATGGTCAGACCCCCTAATGAATTTGTTAATCCTTTTTTAACAAGAATAATAAGTTTTTATTATAAAATCCCTAACGGATTAGAGATTTTTTGGAATTATCCTAGTGATAATCAAGAAAATTTCTAAATTTCACTCTAAGTAAAAATTCATGCCAAGTTAATACTATATCTCTGGCACTTCTAACTTTCTTTTAGTGTTTCAAGTGAAAACATAACACGGGAAGAAACAGCGATAAAAACCTACGTATTCAATATCGTAGCATGATGTTATTAATAACACCAACATCCATGTCTTACACGTATGGGGGACTTTATCTTGATTCCTAAATAGAGATAAACTTGCATCTAACACATGCTATCGGGTGGCATATTCTCGTAATAATGACGAAGTCTACGTATTCAATATCGTAGCAGAGTGTTATTAATAACACCAGAATCCATGCCTTACACACATGGGGGACTTTATCTCAATCTCTAAATAGAGATAAGTCTGCATCTAACACATGTTATCGGATAGCGCGTTCCCATGAAAATGGCAAAGCCCACGTATTCAATATCATGATATTTTGTTATTAATAACACCGAAATCCATGTCTTACACGTATGGGGGACTTTATCTCGATCCCTAATTAGAGATAAGTCTACGCCTAACATTCATTGCCAGTTAGTCTTTTGCCCTGAAAAAGACACCAGAATCCATATCTGGGGGACTTTATCTCGATCCCTAATTAGAGATAAGTCTATGCCTAACACGTGTTGTCAGGTAGTCCATTCCTGTGAAATTAACCAAGTCTATGTATTCGGCATCATAGCACTAAGTCTAAGAGAGTTCTTTCTTTTAGCACAATATTACATGTGGAACGGACTTAGACAATCCACATGCTAGCCCATCTCAAACGGTAGTCGGTAAAAGCTTATCAAATTCGTTGATGGCAGAGGGTTTGCTAAAAATCCTATTATGCGTAGACGCTGAACTCATCTTTGTGTCTCAAGTGTCAGACACTAAGCTCATCTCTGCATTTCAACTACCAAAACGCTGAGGTCAGACTCGCGTTTCAAAATCAAAACACGGAGGCTAGACCCGCATTTCAAATACAGAGGTCTACCCATGTGTTCTAGAAGCAGAATTATGACGATCACCAAGAAGTCAACAGCTCCAAGATCAGAATGAATATCCAAAGTATTCTAAAAATTCATCCCAGTCAACTGTGAACTTTCAAAATTTTGAAGGGGGTTCTGTAGGCTGTCAAAAAAATCACAACAAATATCTTATCCCCATCAAACATCAACAAGGGAAGTTACAATTCAACGACTTCAGAAGGCTATAATTTGAAAACTTTCACGTAGATCGATGAATATTATAAATTGATGACCTTCACGACAATCGATGAAAGCTCTGATCAATGTGAAAACACCCTAATGCCACTAGAAAAGAACCCTAGAAGGGGGTGAAAAGGGTTTATGCTATTCTAATCTGATTTAATGCCAAATTAAAAACTTACTAATAATATATCCTAGAAAATTAGATATACAACACTTAATATGCAAGGATATGAAACTAAGGGTGATATAAATACAAAGCAATATAAACAATATAGTGGACAATATAAGCAAAGGGCAATTGACAATGGCGACAAAAATGAAATGAACAATAAGCACAAGTGAGACGCCAAGGTAATCACAAACACACAAAGATGATCATGGAGTTCGGACCTTCCATCCTACATCTCCGCTCCCCACTCCAGGGAGAAATCCACTATCACACCGGGTTTTCAACATTCACCCAAAAACGTTTTGTCACGCCCTGCTTCCCAAATACCCGAGAATTGGAACGTGAACAAGTCCGCGACGTATTAGATTAAGAAGAAACATACACTATCATTTTTTTTCTTTTTTTTCTTCTCAATCCAATACGCTAAGCGTCAAATGCATAAATCTCAACCACATGTCCCCGATCACAATAGCAATAATATAAAAACAATCTAGAATAAGAAATAAACATATCATCCATAATAAATCATCCTAGACATAAAAATATGGGTCAAACACACCCTTCTTACAAAAATGGTCTAACTAGGAATAAAAATACTTAGTCTATAAAAAAAGAAATACTGGTAAAATAACTAAATCCATCATCAAACTAAAGAAAAATACTATAAAAGAGTTCTAATATTCATCAGCTAGAAAAGAAAACACGACTAGGCTTTAGTTTGTTCTTCCACTCCATTGAAGGACACTCCGACTGGGCATACACCGGTTCTGCTGCATCATCAAACTAAACCTGTTCGTCCCCTAAGTCTAACGCACACCAGAGAAAACAGGTGTACGTCAACGTGCATGGCATACGACAAGATCTCACATGAAAAAATAAAACGGTCGAACGACACATGCTATGACAGTATAATACTAATAGGAAAGACAATGATACATGCAATTGGAAATCTACTAAGTCAAAAGCAATCCTATACTAAACATGATAACATACAATCAAATACATATAGTAACCGGGTCGAATACTAACATCCTAAAACTCACTGGTCCACATCTCACACAGAGTCAACGCTCCTGTCATCGGATAACTGGTTATTTACAAACCCCCTACGTGCATCCAATCCCGCTACACATGTGGCTAAGGAACTACACGTAAACCGTTTTCTGCCTGGTCCAAACTCAAGCAAAACTCGGGTGACGATATGATTTCACTAACTAAAGTGATGTACACACTTCACTTTAGCCCTACACGTAAACCACCAATATAGAACCTCTTTTAGTTGGATTTTGCTTGCTTCCATAGCGGATAACTTGTTGATAAATGAGAATGAGTCGAAACTCTATTTGCCATCTTATCAGCCAAGGTTCCTTTTGAGTTTGAATCTTCAGTAAGGCTTTGAAGACTAAAGGCATGCCGGATCTTGGCAAAAGGAACTGCCCAGATGTCATTAATCATGTTGAATGATGTTCTCCAGGTCGGGTTTGCAAGGGTTGAGGACACGACTAGAAGCTACATGATACCTTTTATAGTGGAAACTCTCTTGGAGAGAGAATCCACCAACCAGTATCGTACTCCATGAGAATAACAAACTGTGGCGGTTTTCTTGAAGGAGATTCGGGAGTACTGGGGTCTGGACCATGCTTGTGAATGGAGAACTCTCCCTTATGGGGATCATACGGGTCGCATGCTTCGACCACCTGAGCTTAGAAAACTTTAGTGGTGAAGGCGTCGGTTGAAGGACCAAGATCATTCTTCCTAAGAACAATCAGTTGACAGGCCCTAAGTTTTTCCTGCAATCTCACCCCTGGTATAAGGGAGTTTTCTTCAAAGAATCCTCATGGTCCCATGTGCCTATCATAGATTTAGTCACTGCTACTTGTTGGCCTTCTTGTTTTGATGATGTTTAACAAATAATTTACCACTAATGTTGTTTGTCTAGTATTTGTGTTTTCTTATTTATTATAGACAAACAACGTAGTTGGAGGATGGATGGATTGCGCCATAATGATCATATTCAATAGAGGTTGGAGGAATTATGGAGTGAAGCAACATACAATTCAAGTTAAAGATCAAGTTCAAGCTTCATCCGCAAAGTGTACAAGTTGAGCTACAATAAAGATCAAGTTTTATGTTTATATGTTTATATATATATGAAATTACATATTTCATACTCTATTGTGTTTTAGTATTCATTGCATAGAATATGCAATTTTGTGAAAATTTTGTATTCTTAGCTTTTGGACTTAAAAATAATCATATACATATTTTATTAAGTCTATATAATCATTGTGCAAAGTTTCAAAACATGGTTTAACCAAAATATCAAATTTCACATGTTTACATTTTCGTGTTTTGAACTATTTTGCAAAATGATGATTTTTCACAAATGGGAAATGCAATTTGAAAAATTCTTTTTGTAACATGTTCATTTACATGTTTATATACACTTCCCAAAGTTTTATTATTTTTGGACTTCATTTGTTATTTTTAACATATTTTTCAAAGTCTTAAAATCAGCTTTAAAACCTGTTTTTACTGTAGTATCAGATTTCGGTCGACCGCACCGGTCGACCGCTCATATGTTCATTTGGTCCGTGGGTAGCAGAGAGTTTGTCGGTCGACCGCCGCGGTCGACCGAGAGCTCGATATTTCCATTAGACGACCGCACCGGTCGACCGACGAAGTTCTGTGTGTATTCTCAATCTGAGATCTGGTTCGCGGTCGACCGCGAATATTTTCGGTCGACCGCCGATCTGTCAGTTCTGCCTAACGGCTATTTTCTTCAGAATGATTTTTTTGGTTTTTGTGAGATTTGGTTTTGGGTTTTAGCTGTTGTTTCTTTTCCTATATAAACACCCAAACCCCCTTCTATTTTAGCAACCCATTAAAGAGTTTAAAGAAGTTTTAAAGAGTTTTGAAAAGGGTTTTAGTTGGGTTCAAAGTCTGTTTGGTTTGAAGATTGTTTTACAAGTGGAGAAGATTATTTATAGTGTTTTTCTATCATTTCAATCCTCCTCTCCATCTTGTTTTTCAGAGAAGAATTTCTAAACTCTTTCTAGCTTTATATTTTATATTGTTTGATTATCATTCTATTAAGCTAGCATTTATATTTGAGTTTAGTTTGATTTGATTTGATTTTATCTCATTGTTACACACACCCACATGAGCTTATTGTATTTGCATACATAGTATATTAGGGTTGTGAGAGATTGTAACATTGAGTTGTGCTTCATTGTGTTATCATCTATTGTAGAGAACAAATTTATATTTGTTACATTGTGAGTGTTGTAGATTTTCGGTGAGCTAGAAAACCGAGTGTGTTGTGAAGTTTTCGGTGAACTATAAAACCGATTGTGAGGAGTGACGTTGATCGGTGAGCGTTGAAAACCGACACTGTGAGGTGTAAACGTTATTCGGGTGAGCGTAGAAAACCCGGTTGTGATAGTGGATTTCTCCCCGGGAGTAGGGAGCGGAGACGTAGGACGGAAGGTCTGAACTCCGTGATCATATCTTGTGTTTGAATGTGCTTTGGCGTTTTTTTATACTTGTGTTTATATTTCTTGTCGCCCTTGTCATTAGCTCATTATTCATATGATCCACTATCTAGTTCATATTGTTTACCCCTTGTGTTAGTTTTATATCCTTGCATATACATATATCATATTGTATATCTCTTTGATAGGATATATCATCTTGTGTTAGTTTATATATCCTTACATATATATTTCATCATATAGGATATATCTCATTGTTTACATTCATCTTGTGTTAGTTTATATATCCTTACATATATATTTCATCATATAGGATATATCTCATTGTTTACATTGTTTATCCTAGCTCATATATCTTGTTGTATTTCACACTTGCTAGGATAACTTGTTAATTAATTTTAATTGGCATTTAATCGAATTAGATTAGCATAAGACCCTACTCTCTCTCTCTCTCTCTCTCTCTCTCTCTCTCTCTCTCTCTCTCTCTCTCTCTCTCTCTCTCTCTAGGGTCTAACACTACTATGCTTATACGAGCTATCGACGATTGGAGCTTCAGTGATATTTGGCCTCGTCAAATTCTATGTTCCGGCCAGATTCATTTTGTGATAACGATTAGAAGTCAGGGTCACTTTCCAAGAAAAACAACCACCCTTATAGTGGGTCTTCTACTGGAGGATTTTTCTAGGGGAATTGAAGATCGTTCTACCATCTAATTGATAGTGTGCTTGGCAAACATTTCCCAGATAAGTTGTTGAGACTTTCGAGGATTGCACCTATGTTAGTTCCTCTTGGCCAAAGCTAACCCTCCTTAGCTTGAATGATGCAACTTCTGACTTCATTTAGCTTGGATGATGTAACTCCGATATTATTCTTCAGGGTGAGTAGAATCAGACCCTTGATTAGAATTTAGCATGTCTTCTAAAAAAAGAAGAGGGGCTCCACGGTGGACACCAAACTGTTGACGCTCAATATCAAATAGTCCATTAATCTAGAAGATGATGGTCCACTACTAAATAATGAGGCATCCTAGACGAAAAATTCTGTGTAGGATACCCAGAATTCCGTCTAGAATGCATATCCTAGACGGAACTCCGTCTAGTATACGCGTCTAGTATGTTTCCGTCTAGGATGTAGTATTCTAGACGAAATTTTTGTCTAGAATACATCCTAGACGGATTATTCTAGACGGAATTCAAAACCGTCTAGAATACATCCTAGACGGATTATTCTAGACGGAATTCAAAACCGTCTAGAATACATCCTAGACGGATTATTCTAGACGGGATTATTCTAGACGGAATTCAAAACCGTCTAGAATACATCCTAGACGGATTATTCTAGACGGAATTTTCGTCTAGAATACAACAAATTCCGTCTAGAATACAACATCCTAGACGAAAAAAATTTCCGTCTATGATGGATATCCTAGACGAAAATTTCCGTCTAGGATACTCATCCTAGACGGAATTTCCGTCTAGGATGTTTTTAATTTTTTTTAATTTTTAAAAAAAACAAACATCCTAGACGGAATTTGAGCATCCTAGACAGAATTTTCGTCTAGGATGTTATGCTACAGTAGTTTTTTTTTTTTTGCAGAATCTATTTTGAGTGCATGTACACAATATTGAACAACAAATTATATTCATATCCAACGCAATCTAATTATATTCTAATGTCAAATCCAATTATATTCAAATAATACATTCATCAAAATAGTAGAAAGATACATAAATTATTTACAAACTTTTACGTAAATTATTTACAAGAGGTTCTGTATGCTCCATCGCACAACATTACGCACAATTCCTCCATCAACCCGATCTCTGCATTCAAACTTCTAAAAAATTTGCCCCACCTATAGGAATAAAAAGTCATAATAGTTTTACCCAAATCAACACTTTTAAGCGTCTCGAATCTCAACAGAACATTAACCAAGATAAATTTACATATGTTTGCCTTAAAAAATAAAGAAATGAAAATGACACCTGAAGAAAGTCGACTTTTGCTACAGCCTCAAAGAGCACAGAACTCAGCTGTAGGATCAAATAGAATAGCAAAAGTGGGAATATTAAATGCGCATTATGCACATTATCATGTTCATTTCCTACATTAACTAAATTATCATGTTCAAACTCTAAGATACCCGATGATCAGTTGCTTTGAGCTTGGGTAATAAATGGTCCAGCATTTCTAGCTTTCCACAGAGTCTCACAAGGGAAGGCAGATAATGTCTTGGTAACAGACCATCAACCTGAAGTGATGAACCATAAACATTGCAACACGAAAAGAAAATAAATATAATTAAAGATATAACACACAAAATTTTCTCAACTTGAACTTGTGAAATTACCATTTCAGCTTGAAGTTGACTGAGATACAGATGATTGCATATATTACGCAACTCCACCACTGTGTTGTGCATAGAACGACCCTAATATTGAATGTTGTAGAAAATCAATGTAATATAATGGCAGCAAGCACACAAAGATAGCATGTGAAGCAAACTACAGAAAATTACCTTTGTATTTCTAATTGACCCAAGATTCTCTTCCACCCTCTTCATTAGAAGTTTCTGATATGCAGAGGCTTCACATCTCACAAGCCTTTCAATTTTTTCAGGCAATTCATTTTCAACCTATCAAATAGATGAGAATCAAATGGCAGAGTTTCAGTTCAGTGTAACTGGGAAACACTGATATCTATGTATTTTTCAGTTAAGAAAATCCATATTGCAAAGTAGCTAGTTATTAACTCATTCTACTTATACCCATCAACTCATACGTGTAGATAAACAAAAGCATCCTTTAAAGTTGAAAAGGCAAATGGCAACATATGGAACTATCAAGCTCATAGTACTGTTAGGCATTCGAAAGTAGTTTATTTCTTGTGTTTAAATTGATTCATTATTGTTAGGCATTCGAAAGAAATTTGATAAATAAATAAGAAATTGCAGGAAAATAAGGATGACCTGAGGTATTTTTAGGCATTTACCGTCATCTCCAAACTGCCACCCATGGTATAGGCATTCCAATCTTCCATCAATCAGTTAACCTTCAGATAGTTTTGCTAATTTGTAGAAAATTTTAATATATTCAAGGGCTATGGTTTCAATTATAGCTATAACATGCTACAATGACTGTATTGGAAAAGCACATAAGAATTAGATGAATGAAATAAATTGAACGCTGAATAAAAAACAGCATCAATAACCAGTAATAACAGAACAAAACATATAAGATGTAAAATTAGCAAAGTTAATATCGATGCATGTTGTATTTAATTCTAGGTAAGATGCCCAAGAACTAAAACTACCAATCTTGGAGACACTAATCTTATTAAACGTTTAATTAAGGATCTAGACTGTTCGTTAAGCCGGAGTCATTCTGGGCTCCAAGCTTGGACATATCCGGTTCATTGCAGGAACAGTAAAAGAACCATTACGCATCCCATTAGCAACAGGCTTATAATTGACATATCCGGTTCATTGCAGGAACAGTAAAAGAACCATTACGCATCCCATTAGCAACAGGCTTATAATTAAGCTACTTCTACCCATAATTACAATAAAAACAATAAATTTCCAATAATAATCCGCAAATTCTCATCTGAACTCACCAGAATCCAGCTCCAGTGGGCGAACCCTCTCCAAATCCACATCACCGCCAAGCACCCCTCTCATACTCAACGCAACCGGATGATCCACCGGAAGAACCAGCTGCATCTTAATCTCAATACAATCATCCCTAACCCTTACCTCAGAAGGATGATCCACCGGAAGAACCAGCTGCATCTTAATCTCAATACAATCATCCCTAACCCTTACCTCAGAACCCGAACCAGGATCGATCAAAACCCTAGGAATCGGAACCCTAACCGAAACCCCTTTAGATTTCTCCGAATCGATCCAAGAGACAATGAGAAGCGATCGGGACATCTGTAGATCGGAATCGAGGCTGAGGCATTGGGTTGATGGATTGTCGAGCTTCAGGGAATGAAGCATGTGCCCTCGGCCTCAAACCAGAACACCAATGTCGTCATCCTTGACAACCATCCTCCGGAAATGGATCGCCTTCAGGCACAATGAGTCCGTGATCTCGGTGGCCCACGGGGCGGCATAGCCTCCCCAGTCCTCGGGAATGATGTTGTTAAACATTGAAGCCCTAGGCTTGCCCTTGAGCTTGAGCGACTCCAGGCGAGGGAACCGCTGGCGAAGGCGATCGGGGCTAGCCGAGTAGCAGAAGGCGATGGTGATGTGCTTGTGGGTGATGGTGTCGATCCGGTACCACTTCTTGCCGACGAGGGAGATGGCGTCATGGTCCCAGGGGCTCCAGGGCCACGTCCGAGATCTCGCCGGCGAAGCTTGTCGACCTGGTGAGGCCGCGGGGGTCCATAGCGGCGGCGATAGACCCGGTGACGGGAGAGAATATAGAAAGAAAGAAACCCTAGCTAGTACGATAGGGCTTTGAGGGGAGAGAATCCCACAGATCCGAGGGAGATCGCGAGGGGGAAGCAGCAGGAGGCTGTTATTGATTTCTAGGGTTTAAGGTAAAGGGGCTGGGGATATGGGGATTTTTGGTTGAAGGGAGGAGAGAGAGAACGAAGATTGGTGTTTATTTTGGGTTGGGAGAGCAGGGGATTTTCGATTTTGCGTGTTGATAAATACATCACTAAATTGAAATTCCGTCTAGGAATGTGTGGCTCATGTAAAAAAACTTTCAAAAAAACCAAAATCCCCCCCCCCACTCCACACACTGTGTGATAGCGCAGCTTATGGCGGACACACACACACCCGAACACACACCACTCGTTGTAGTGACATACTCGTCGTAGCTGAGTGCTGTGATAGCATTATCACACAAAATCGCAACGATCCCCCCCTGCTCTCCCAACCCAACTAATATAGACACACAATCTTCGTCTCTCTCTCTTTCTTCCTCCCTTCAAACCAAAATCCCCATTCCCAGCCTTAACCCTACCGCTATCAATAACGCCCTGACGCTGTCTTTCTGATGGTGGGAGTGGTGGGGGGGTGGCGAATCTTTGGCTGTTTTTATTTTTTTACATGAGCCAAAACATCCTAGACGGAAATTTTCATTTAGTATGTATTCTAGACGGAAATTTCCGTCTAGGATAACTGTTCATATTAAAAAAATTTAAAAATAAATTAACCGTCTAGGATAACATCAAGACGAAAATTTTAGGATAGCATCCTAGACGAAAATTTTCATCTAGAATATTTTTTCTAGACGGAATATTCAGACGAAAATTTTCCATCTAGTTTACTAGAAAACTAGACAGAAAATTTTCCGTCTAGAATATTCCGTCTAGGATAAACGATTTTCTACTAGTGGTCGCGGGTTGATGAAGGATGATGGGAGGGCCGACTCCCTTCTTCGACTTTATACCTGGTTCTCGAACGAGGGCTTGATGCCCACGCTGCACAAACAAGAAGAACCCGTGAGAGGGTGGGGACCGGTTCTCCTGTGGTTCCTTCGACGGTCAAGTTAGTGAAACTCGAGTGTGGACGGTCAAGAACCGATGTGGTTTTTAAGGTAGCAATGTGTGTGCCAAGAGGATCTATGTGAGATCCTCTGTCTGGACGAAGAACTGTGTGTTCTTGTTTTTGTGTCTTCTATGCTTTAGGGGGTTTTAGATTGCTCACCTCCCTCATTTTCCCTCCTCTCTCTCTCTCTCTCTCTCTCTCTCTCTCTCTCTCTCTCTCTCTCTCTCCCCCCCCTCTTTTTCCCCCCCCTCTCTCTCTCTCTCTCTCTCTCTCTCTCTCTCTCTCTCTCTCTCTCTCGGTGATGGCCAATAGCATTTATATATAGAGAGGATGATCCTTCGCAGACTGGTCATTTCGGCCATACAAATGGCGGTGACAAAGTGTGTGCTAGAAGGTGAGTCATCCTTCGCTTTACTGGTGTCGATTGGTGACTGGAGGGGAAGTCACTTTGTTATGAAAGAGGGTGTCTCCGCATTCTCCGGGAAGTGATTGATATCGTGGCAGAAGTTATGTGGGCATACTGAATCATCCCTCGCTTTTTAGGTATCGGCTAGCGACCGGAGGGAAAGTCACTTCGACATGGGAGAGGGTGTTTCCGTATTCTCCAGGAAGTGATTGAGCTGACAAGTCATAGAGACTTATCAGGCCAAAATTTAGATAAGGCTTGTCCGAGGTGGATGGAGATATCGACATATGCTTGGAGCTGGGGTTGATTTCTTAATTTACTTGGTAGCAGGGGATGTCCCTCCAGTTGCTTTTGAGAATTGTCCAGTGAGTGGTCGAGTGCCCTAACTAGGGTCGTCATTTATGATAGGGTCGATCGATACTGCCTTTCGCGTCGACTCAGGAATGTCGGCCTGTCCGATTGGTTGGAATATTGTCTCGTCTCAGCTAATAACCGTCTCTTAAGTCGATATAAAGATGTCGACTTGTATGGGAGGTTAGGATCTCTCGTGCCGACAAATATCTCTTTTGGTGATGACACCAGAGAATCGACTTAATAAGTTGGTGGGGGCTGAGTTCTCTGTGATCGTGCCTTGGGTTTATCCCTGATAAGGTACTAAGGTCATGTAATTAGCCATGATGGTCGAGTTGTATTGGAGAATTCGATCATTTGTCGTGCCTTGGGCTTATAATTCAACTAAGGAACCAAATGCCTAGAACTCTTGAGAGTTGACTAGGGCTCTCATTCTATCATTTTGCAAATATTCGTATCTTAGGTGAGTGAACACCATAACCACACGGGAGAAGATTAACTAACCAAACTCGAGCACAATCCAAACAAATACGACAAACCAATCTCAAACACAGAGATATATGTGGTTCGGCAATTTGCCTACGTCCACGGGGAGAGGATGGGGAGATTTCATTAAATCAAGTAGAGTACAAAGGGTTACAAATCTCTCAAACACTCAAACTAACCCAACCAAAAGATGTCTCAACTTGCTCACAAATTCTTCCTCTCAATATGTTAAGAACACTCTCTAATCTCTTCTTAGAAACCCTAGAAAATCGTGTTTCAATATATACCAAAACTCAATCCCAAAGCAAACAGGAAACAAAAGCCTAAGGCCCAGCTCGACACACGATCAACCATTGTGGTCGACCGAAACCAACGACAGAAACCCAGGAAACATTATAGGTTCTCACGGTCGACCGCCACAGTCGACCGCAACCAATCGACAATAACTAAAAATCCACTACATGGTTTGACGGTTGACCGCGACGATCGGCCGCACCAAGTCCAAAAACCACTTTAGTTTTTGTGCACGTTTTTGGTCGACCGCGCCTGCCTACTTTCCTGTCTTCTCTTCAGGCTTCATAAGTTTATAGGTTTGATAATCACATTTTATTACAGTTTTATACCTCATTATCTATTTTATATGAATAAATATATCACTAATAACTATTTTTATGTTTAATTGCAGGTTAATGAAGAATAAATCTCAAACTCCCATCTCTCAACAAAAACCCGTTGATTAAATGAAGAAATGAAGCCAATTGGAAAATCAATTTCCAAATTATCCAAAAGCCCAAGCTAAGAAGAAGAAGTAAAGCCCAAAAAAATGCCAAATCCCAAATCAAATAAATGAAGAAATCAAAGAATTTTCCAAGCCCAAAGCCCACAAGAAGAAACAAGTTCGCACAGCAACCAGAGAGAGCTGGCATCGATGCACGTATCGATGCCCGCATCGATACCCCTATCGATGCTGGTATCGATACGCTGAGTAGTTTGTTACGAATCAAAGGCTGAAAATTGATGTTTTTGGATAAGATTTCGATCCAATGGCTCTCATTCACTGATGTTTACTATAAATAGGGGTAGAGAGTGAGGGGTTAGGGGTGTAAAAAATTTTATAACTCCTTTTGGAGAGGATGGCTACTCTTAATTGAGAAGGCCTTCCAAAAATTATAACTTTAGTTGCAATTAATAAAAATAATTTTTCTCCTCTTTAAATTTGTTATTTCTCCTCTTTGTTGAATGATAAGGACGGAGATGAAGAGCAATTTGAAGGTTTGCATTTCTTTTATTTTTTATTTCTTTTTAGTAATTTCTTTATTATTGCTTATTAGTTAGATTTACATTTATGTTTGTAGTGTAGATTTATTTCCTTATCTTTTTTATTTCTTTTTGCACTTTAATTTGTAGAGTAGATTTATTTTTCTTGCATTTAATTTTTGTAATTTATTTTGTAGTTTAGAATTTTATTTTCTTTGTAATTAGATTTACTTATTGTTCATAGTTTAGATTTTTATTTTCTTTTTATTTTTGTAATTAATTCTTTTTCTTGTTTTTATTTCTTAAGATGTGAATTTAATTCTTGTAAGAATCTTAGAATTATATGAAACTAGTCTAATTTCCTTTATATTGTATGAATTATTCTCTTGTACTTAAAATGTTCATGTTTAGGATAATCAACTAGAGAACTAATCAGTAGAAGAAGAATTTGATAATCTATGCTTATCTTAAATGATTTGATAGGTTATGCTTATGAATTCAACAAAATCACACTTATTCTTTATTCCTAATTGTCACGCACAAAACATAAGAACCATTTCTAATAATTTCTTAAAATCACCTTCCTCGTGTGGGATCGATATTTTTATACTATAACTTGATCAATTGTGCACTTATAATTTTGGTACATAATTATGCCGCATCAAGTTTTTGGCGCCGTTGTCGGGGAGGGTGCTAAAATAGGATTTTATTATTTTGGTTCTTTAACTTGTGTGTTTTTCTTGTGAAGGAACCGCTTGGAGCTTGAAAATCTTGGATTGAAGATTAAGAAATTGGAGCATTGCTTTCGGGTAAGTCTTCTTTCTAGTTTTTAATTCCACCCTTTTTAGTTAGCTTCACAATTAGAGATAATTAGGATTTAAAAAAAATTATTTTTGTTGACCATAATAAAATCCACCTTTTACTTGGACATTAACTAACAAGATAATAAATTCAAACATGAGCCATCTTCTCACATTTGATTGTTGTTGACCATAATTAAAAAAAAGATTTTCTTTTTATCATCCTTTTTAGTCGCTTTTAATTTCTAAGGTTGCATTTCATATAGTGTAGGAATTCACCAAAGTGGTTGTAGCACTTGATTTGGCACACACTTAAAACATTCTTAAGGGCAAAACCCCAATCAAGATAAGGTAAGGGATTTCATCACCCTTTCCTTAGCCCACAAATCACTAATTCCTCACTTCACAAACCCAAGCCTTCTAAAACTCATTAGACGTTGGCCCCTAAGGATTCGAGCTCAATAAGGAATAAGAAATCCTTAAGTAAACGGTTTAAGTTTTCTCAGAATAGTTGGTG